GGCTTCCCCTCACGCTAGGCCGCTGTGTTTTTCGTTACCACTGATGATTCAAACACGAGTTTTGAGCAGTGTAGAGTAGCACTTGTTGTTAGTCATTTCTCCGATCACAAATGCAGACAGAGTTTTATGTTTACGCGGCGCGATGCAATGCAACGCAACGCGTAAAAAGACAGTATAAGTCATTATAATCAGTAATTATGTCCCTACTGGATGCAACAAAGGGGCGTAACATTTCCGTCACACGCTTGAGGTATTCGGCCAATCACAACGCACTGGACAGCTGGCCAATCACAGCACACCTCGCTTTTTCAGACCGATGAGCTTTGTAAAAATCAACACGTTTCAAAAAGGCGGGGCATAGAGGAGAAACAATAATGTACAGTATGTGGAAAATAATGTGTTTTTTGAACTTTAAACCGCATAAACACATTTCATTACACCAAATACACAAAATAATGTTATTTTTAGCAGCATCATATGACCCCCCCTTTAAGTTAAATGCGCAACTTAGGATGGAAACCCGGCTTTGTGTGAATTTCTCACTTTTGCTAAGCACAAAACAGGATATTTTGAAGATTGTTAGACACCAGCTGACGGTAGACGGTCCATTTTTCCCCACTATGGAAGTCGATGGCTGCCGTCAACTGTTTGGTTACCAAGACTCTTTAAAATACCTTCTTTTGTGTTTAGCAGAGAACAGAAACTCGTACAGGTTTGGAACGACACGAGGGACAGTAAACGATGAAAAACATTTTTATTTTGGTGTGCACTGTCCCTTTAAGCGGCTGGTTCTCACCTAGAATGACTCCGCAGCACAGCACCGCGTAGAAGGACGTGGTCTGCTTCAGAACCGCGTAGGACAGCAGCACGTTAAACACGGTGGAAAGCGAGCGGCCCACGGTGTAGAAGGCAACTCCCACATATTTCAGGCACAAGTTGTTGAAGGTGATCATGCCGATGAACACGACGGTCAGCGGCAAAACCTCTCTGGACACTCTGAAATCAAATTTCAAAGACGGGAAATCCACGAACCCTGGGCATAACTTCGAGAGAAAGTGCAAGATCCAGCACAGCCCGACGCTAACAACACACTGGAAGAATGTGATGAAGACAGGCGCGTCCAGCTCCTTGCTGTCTAGCAGGTAGTTGTTCAGGAAAACCATGGAAATCGAGATGAACCAATAAAGAGCGACAACCGCAGCGATTTTGCTCGCTTTCAGGATAAAGGGCTCGTCTTTATCCGACCGAGTGGATTCTGAGAAAGCCATTTTTAATATTCTGGATCGCTTGAGTTGGGACCTGTTCATGGTTCAGGAATAAAGCAAGAGGAACAATGCAAATGCACATTAGTTATTTTATAACAACAATAACACTTCTCGTCAGGCGCCTGTGGTGCTCTGCACTGGCCATGAGTACAACGATAGCGAGCCAGAATGGTCAACAACTTCCGGGTTCCGCGTTGGATTTCTTAAAGTGACATCCTCACCCATGTACACAATCATAACACTGCACATAATCGAATCTCACGATAAACCATGAGCGGAAACAATCAGATAATCACCATAATAATGTTTATAGACGCGGGAATAAATAATTACGTGAATAAAAACAACAACAAAATAGTAAGAGAGCGTTTCGGATGCGTAACCGTACATTCATTCTCTTACTTAAACAGTAGTAATAAAATAATTTTGAATTTAATGTGATGCTTGAGTCTCACCTTCTTGGACATCAGACGCTTGCTTGCAACCTTTTGCTATGCACATTAAAGGTGGGGTAAGTGATTTCTGGTAGCCAATGTTGACATTTGAAATCACCAAAACAAACACGCCCCTACCCCACGCCCCTATTTTGATAGCTCCGCCCCACACATATGTAAGCCTACGCAACCCAGGCAACGGGTTAGTTCTGTGAAACAAGGCTAAACTGCTGCTGCGTTCTATTCAAGACGCATTGACACTAAATTCAAATGATTTTCAGCGGTCGCTTTGTCGCACGGTCTTTTCAATATCAGTTTTTGCGACTTTGAGACACGGTGTTACTCACCGATCGAGAAGAAACAAAGCATGCGCTTATCCGGATTGTTCAAACCGACTTAAAACTAAAAGATTACGTTCTCTCGTGCGTGAACTCATTCGGGAGTGGTGACTTTCCACGTATTCCCAACTTCTGAGCCTGCTCGCCTGAAGTTATGCTTGATTGCTCTTCGGCTGGATATCAACACACCCTTTAATGTAAACTATGCCAGACATTGCATGGGTCAAAATTATAAAAAACATTTTAATGCCAAAAATCATTAGGATATTAAGTAAAGATCATGTTCCATGAAGATATTTTGTAAATTCCCTACCGTAAATATATCAAAACTTAATTTTTGATTAGTAATATGCATTGCTAAGAACTTCATTTGGACAACTTTAAAGACGATTTTCTCAATATTTAGATTTTTATGCATCCTCAGATTCCAGATGCATGACATGCATAACAAACCATACATCAATGGAAAGCTTATTTATTCAGCTTTCAGATGATGCATAAATCTCATTTTCAAAAAATTAATTAAATAAATACTACTACTACTAGCAGATTAATTTCTAAACATTATAGTATCTCTTTATGAAAATTCAGATATTTCAGTCTCTTTACCAGGAGGCACATCACCCTGATTTTCCATGCAATGGAGGATTAAACAGGGTTGCTCTAGGGTTGTTCTCATTCTAATGGCTACAGAAATTCTTTCTTTATTATAAATTCAACCATAGCCCTGTTACTAGAGGTACTTTAGCAGTCAGTAATCACCCGAGGTGATCAAAGATGCAATGACTAGTAATTAGCCTACAAGAAAAAAAGTGTTTTTGTGATTCTGTTGTATCGTAACTCATTGCACAGAATCAAAAGCTGGTGTTATGGTGTGTACAGGTCTACATCGGTGAGCTGCCTCAGGATTTCCTGAGAATCACCCCGACGCAGCAGCAGCAGCAGGTACAGTTAGACGCCCAGGCGGCCCGACAGCTGCAGTACGGAGGATCTTTAGCAACAGCTGGCCGCCTCAGCATCACTGTCGTACAGGTACGTCTGCAGGGTTATTTAATGGTCAGACTTGCACTGCTGTTCTGAATGTACATGTTTCAAGTATTTCTACTGTACACTGTAAAAAAAAAAAAAAATGCTGTAGTTTTTACAAAATAATTTTGGCAGCTGTGGTTGCCAGAATAATTTTGTAAAAAATACAGAAAACTGTAAACACATTTACGGTATAAAACTGTAATTTACAAACAAGAAAATTTGAATGTAAACCAGTAAATTCAACAATGCACACTGCTATTAAAATCAGTTTTTTACCTTTAACATACTGACAACCACCATAACAATGCAGATGGTAAAAGAGAAAGCCACATGAAGAATCCAAGCTCATCACGAGTAGCTTCGTCACAAGCAGAAGTATATACTAATATATAGAAGGTGCATTCATGCAAACACAAAACACCATCATGGTAACACACATGATACTTAAATAATGCAATGAACTTTCATTAAACAACAGAAGATGTAACATAAAGCCCAAATGTGCATAACTAATAACAAAAATAATTTAAAAACATGATTATTTAAACAAAATACTTTCAAACGTGGAGTGTCATGCAGGGAATTCTGGGAATATCAGTTTACAGTTTTTGACTGTAAATTATAAATTGATTTGTTATTTTTTACTTCTAAAAACTGTAAAATTAAGAGCATTTTACTGTAAAATTACATGAAATGTCTGGTTAGATATTTTACCGTTTTTCCCTTGTATATAGTACGGGAACTTACTGTTAACTTATTAACCGTTTTTTTTCTGTAGCATTTTTACAAAATTTTACAGTTAAAATTACACTTATTTTTTCAGTGTAGGAGAGTATTTTCAGTTTGTAAAACCCAATTTGTTACATTCCAAAGAATAAAAACATAGTTTTTACTAGGGACGCTTCAAAGCCTCTAAGGTTAATAATTATCATCATCATTATTATTGTCTTTATTTTATTTTCAGAACAACAGTAAAATTGCAGTACTAACATTTATGAATGTTGATGGAGCTTTTATTTTTGTGGACCTCAGTGCTTCTTGTTGTTGACAACACAGCAGACATAGTTATACGAATTTGGGAAGATGTTTGTCGCATAGGGATGCAATGATTCACTCAACTCACGATTCGATTCACGATTTTTTTTTTTACAAAATGAGATTGAAGACAAATTATAAATTAAATGTGTCCTTTTATTTTTGCTTGGACGAAATACTGCACGTTTCTTTGTGAAATTGAAATATAACACTATAATAATATGCTAATATAGCACTTGCATATTATTGCTCTTTTGTTGGTTTTGATTGCTTCTATTGTCCTCATTTGTTAGTCGTTTTGGAGAAAAGCGTCTGCTAAATAACAAAATTTAAATATAATGTAAATGTAAATAACAAAACTAAATTGAAATGTTAAAACAAGCCCCAAATCAAATAAATAAGTAACACAAATAAAATAAATCTCTTCATATGAGCAAACTAAGGCTTTGTCTGTGCTCTTAACATTTAAAATTAGAGGCAACCACTGCATTTTAATCTTGATCCAAACAAAGATGCTGCATACATGCAACACGAGCAGTTTTTAATCTAAATTAAATTGTATAATTTCGAAATTTGAAGCAAAAACAGAATG